AGGGGCTGCGTCACCACCACCTGCGGCACCAGAGCAGCCCGAGTGCTGCGGTTGTTCCTCCCTTCCCTGGAAAACAGCAGGAGAATGGCTTAGTGGGGAATTTGTGGTTATTATTGTTGAACCAGGCGCTGGCACATGTCAAGGAGCCGCTGGAGAAAGCTGGGAAAACAAAGCGGCTTTTCCTGGCGCTGCGGGCACAGCCATGCTAACGGCCAGGCCAGCACCAGCTCCAGCGGGATGGGAGGGCAGCCAGGCAGCATCCCACCCCTGCACCCCCACGCTGGGCTCTGAAAGGGACCCCCTGGCCTGCGAGGGGCTTGTGGTTACACTGCAGCTGCCCAGAGCGCGGGCACTGCTCGGACAGAAGATGACTGGAGTTAATTTTGCCCAGATGCCATCATGGGCACAGTGGGGACCGGCCCCGGGAGGCAGCAGGGCAGCAGCCAGCCCCGCTGTGCAGCCACACACCGTGGGGTCGGAGATCAGGTGCAGTACAGGAGAGTAAAAGCCTTTGATGAGGGGGTGGTTACGATGAAAAATGTTTTTCAAAACACTCTCCCTTTCCATTAGCACTACCTCAGTTTTACGACCTCAGCCCCCAGATTGCCAGTCCGGTTCAGTGGTGTCTCCGTGTACTTTTCTCAAGAAATCCTGATGTCTGATGCAGATAAGCCGCAAGAGAAAGCATGATTTGTCCCCGGTTTCACAAGCTAGATGAACCTTTTCTGACTCAAGAATATAAGAAACAGAATGGGCTATTCCACATTAATTATTAACACTCCTCCTGCACCACCCGTCCAGCTACTTCCAGGGGGAGTGCTGGATTCCTGGGAACATCAAACGACTGACTACACTTCATCACCAGGCTTTGGCACACAGTGGCAAACTTATTTTGCCTCAGTTTCCTCCTCACTCATATCACTCCACATAAGAGCAGGATCTCCCTTTTCTGTGGCATTTCCTGAGGAGCAGGGCCAGGGTGAGGAAGCAGCTTGGCACCGTCCCCACACCCCGGGCTCGGGGATGCTGAAGGTGAACTGGATCCCGCTGCACCCACAGTCATCTCAGTCTTCTCTCATTCCTCTCATTCAGCTGGCAGGATCACAACGTGCATCAGGCAGCGTGTTACACACAGTAACCCCTGTGCCCAGAACCACAGAGTGTGTTCAATGGAACGCACACATCACTGGGATGTTTTCATTGCCAGCACCTGCTAACCATTACGTGCCGAACCTCCCTGACCCTGATGTGCTCCCGTATCACAACTCTGCATCATAAATATACTCCAGAGCAACCTGCGTGCCAGGACAAAGCCCTTTGGGATTCTGTATTTCTCTTTTGCTATTTCACAGCTAATTGGCTTGTGAAATACAAACGTGGTGAGGAGGGATCTCTCCCACCTCTCAAGCCTCAGCTCCTTTCAGCCCAGTTTCCCCCATCTCACTTTCAGATCGTGAAGTGGCTTCTGATTCACCTGAGGAATTTACCCTTTTGACCACCTCATGCAGGCTATGGCACGGGGCCAATGCTTGTTTAGAGAAGACTTCTGCAGGTCTGGTGGACACAGCCCTGGGAGGGGAGAAAGACCCCTGCGGGGTGAGCGGGAAGAGAGTGAGACCCCGAACCCCTGACCAGCAACAGCCCTTGGCATGGGGAAGCAGATGCATGTGAGACAACCTGCGTGCTGGGGGTCATCAGCGGGGACAGACCCAAAAGCACATGTTTCCACATCCTTTGTCACCCCTAAGCCATCTCTCCCATCAACTACCCACCCTAAGGAGACAAAGCCAATGCTGCTGCAGCCGGCTTTATGGAGACAGGACACAGCCAGGCACCTGGTGAAGATGCTCCCTGAAGGAAGCGTGTGATGGTGGGACACAGGCTGCAGACCACCTCCTCGGAAACCCACCCCAAGCCATGCAAGCAGGGGACTTTAGGCACGTGGCAGGGAAGGGATGGGATTTGTTGGGTTTTCAGCTCACCTGGCAAGGCCTTTGCCCATTTGACCACGTAGACCAGCTGCCTCTCCCCGAGCTCATTCAGGCTGGTCAGCAGGTTGGAGAAGGAGTCCGGCTGGCTGTTGTCATGGCCAGCACACACCACGCCAGGCTCAATGGCCTCCAGGACGTTGAGGAAGATGGGTTGGCACTCGTACCCATCAATGCGCGTCATCACCATCTTGGGAGCTTGCTCCTCCGTGGGGCTGGATGAGCTGGCTGCCTCCACGTCACCTTGTGTCTTCAGGTTACCCAGCTTCTTCAGCTTGCGGGCTGCGGAAATGACAGGTTTTAGGGTGAGACTCAAAAATAAAACAAAAGCTTGAGGTTTCTTGGCCTCCAGCTCCATCACTTATATTTATGAGAAAAGGGAAACTGATGGTGAGCAGCAGCTAGTCCTTCCATGCACACCGTCCAAAAAGTGTCCTCGCATCACAGACCTCACCTAAGGACGAAAGGGAGCAGACACTGCACAGGAAACCCATTTGCTCATTAATCTCGTATGGGAAAGAACAATCATGATTTACATCCTCAGCCCTGACACGTCTCACATTAACTCCCACTTAGAAATGGAGAAGAACTGGGGAAAAGAGACAAGAGGTGACTCAATTCAAACAACTACTCACACACAACTAAAAAGGGAAGCCATGCAAGCCAATAAACTCAGTAGATGGTCACGTTCCAGGGAAAAAGCCATCACACTCGCCACTCAAGTCGATTGTTCCACCCCAGGCCAGAGTGGAATCAGGACGTAACCGAGAGAAAAGCCTTCTCCTTGCCCGGGGCTCCGGCAACTCCTGCTGCCCTGTAACCAAGCTCTCCCAGCCCGGTCACTACTCTACAAATATATTGTGGAAAATATATCTTAAAAACCATCAGGTGGTCCCATGGCTGTTTCCCTGGAGTCTCCCCAGCCAGCCCACCAACCAGGGGAAGGAAGACTCGAGGAGGGGTGGCCTTCATCAAGAGCAACATCAGTAGAGTGGGCTTGTGGGGTTGGTACCACAGGCAGCCAACGACTTGGCCAATTCCGATATCTACATGCCAGTGCTCAGCACAACACAGGTTTGCAGGGTACAGCAGACAGGAACAGCTTTCATCCCTTACCGACTCCAAAAACCCTAATTAATTAGAGAAAAAAAAGCTGATCGTTTAATTCAAGCAGAGAATATAACATCAAACCAAGTGTCCTTGGGGTTTTGGCTCCTTCATTACATGATACTTATCTCAAATTTCCTTTCAGCTGTAATTAGAAAAATAAGCAGCGAAACATAAAAATGTCAAGTTAAAGTGCAGCTTTGTAAATCAATTCAGAATGCTGATCTTTAAGTAATGTACTTTGGATGATCTACTGTATGAGCAATTAAGACAGGCTGCTCTGTAAAAAGGGAGGAGAAAAGAGTCATAAAAGTAAGAGAGACAACAGGAAAACAGGGCTGCGGGGAGAGGGGAGAACAAACACCCAGATCCCACGTTTCCAAACAACCCGCGTTCACTCCGGGAGGAGGCACCGGGGGGCAGGACCCACGTCTCCTGGTTGTGCCTGGCACCAGACTTTAGAGACAAGGGTGCTGCTGGGAAAGAGAAGCTCCCAGGCTTGAAAGAAGAAATAAAAACCAAACTGTATCTTCCAAAGAGGACTAATCAGTGCCCATCAGGTCCTGTGTGTAAATGGAGCCAAGCCCATGCTGTATAAAACACACACATGGTTTGGTTTAAATATTTTTTTTTCTTAAAATTGAATTATCTGATACTAAAAGATACTGAGTGAAGTAAGAGGAGAGCAAGCAACCAGCCATGCTGGCTCTGAGACTGCAGCTGTAAATCAAACCCCTCCGTGTCGGAGAGCAGGGAAGGTGGATGGGAACTGCTCTTAGCAGAGGAGCCTCATGGCCGTGCTTCCCAGGAGCTGTTCTTCCACAGATCACTGAAATGCTGATGGGAAAGCCTCAGAGGCGAGAGCAGCTCATATTCAGTCACCTGGGCAAAAGCCCTTTTTGGTGGTAGCTCCTACTCAGCAGCTACTGGGAACAAAACCGAATTTTTTTTTTAAAAAAAGGAAATTAAAGACATCTGTTACAGTTTTCTCCTGGGATGAGCTAAGCGAGGCAGAAGCCCAGGCTGCACCTCTCCAAACCCAGGTGGGACAAAGCCCAGCACCCCGGATGGAGAGCGGGCAGTGCCCAGTCCGGCTGCGGCACTGGGGAAGCCTCGACCCGCAGCACCGGCACAGAACTGCCCCAGTCCCACCTGGGTGTCACAGAGAAAATGTCACACACAGCTGAGAAAAAGCTGAAGGGACAGGATAATACAGCACCACGAGAAAACATTCCCCAGTGCAAGAACCACTAAGGAGCAACTGCAGAGCGGCTGTGCAAGTGACACACGTTTTAAACGACTCGCCCCGTCCCCATCGCGCCAGGCGCTTCTGAGGCCGGTGAAGGAGCACTCTGAGCTCCAGCACGGATCCTTCACGAGTGCTGGGACCTGGGGAAGTTCTGGGGACCTGGAAGAAAACTGCCTTTGCACGAGCAATGACAGAGAAATCCTGCCGGTGCTGACTGTAGCTGCAGGCGAAATGTCAGAGAAGCCGAAACAGGACCTGATTTACACCCTGCTTTATTAGCATCAACATGTGGCTTGTCAAAACCAGATCCTGTCAAGCCATCAATCTTTTCTGGCACAATAATTTTAGTTGATAATTATAATAGTACTGGTATAGCAGACATGTTTAAGAGATCTGAGTCAGTCTGGCCCACATGAATTAAAAAAAACAACATAAAATCAGACGGTACCGCCAAATGACTTTAAATCACCCAGGTGACACATCTCAAAAGTAATTATAAATGTTGAAATAACATCAGACAGGTTTGTTCCTCATGAAGGCTCTTCATAGCCCTTTGCTAGTCAATGTCTATATTCATTCCAAAAAGAAAATTAACCATTTCTGCTGAAGTCTACTCAAGTCTGTACAACAATGCAAAGATGGGAAAATAGGAATGAGCATTAAGGACTGATAACTGATTGAGGACTGATAACTGATTAAGGACTGATAACTGATTAAGGACTGATAACTGATTGAGGACTGATAACTGATTGAGGACTGATAACTGATTAAGGTCTGCTGATAAGCTCAGTCTATCCAAGCAAAGCACTGTAAGTAGATATGAACCACTGAAGTGAGCCATGCTCAGTGCACGTCAAACTCCCCCTCGGCAGCCTGAACTCACACCAAAAACCGACAGACAAACACCGAGACCTGAGCTGGCAGACGGTTCAGTGGGCACAGGACTAACAGGATCCCGCACCACGGGAAGGAGGAAAACCCTGGTGTTCCTGGAGAACACCTTACCATCGCCTTCTAGCACTGATGCTGCTGACTGGGAAACTGCGAGGAGACATTCACCCTGCGAGGGAGGTGCTGGCCCAGTGCAGAAGCTGTAAGAACAGTAAAGACTTGAGAACACACCTTGGAGCACAGAGGTAAGGAATTTCACCTCAGCAGCTATGCAGAAGGCTCAAGAGTTATTAAGTCACAGCCAACAAATACCCACTGCGGGGACAGAAATTCAATAAAAGTAGGTTTTTTCGATCTAGCAAGCAAAGCCATAATAAAGATCTATTTGCTGGAAATCAAGAACAGACAAGACGAAAAATAAGGTAAATCTTTCACAACACTGAACGTAATTAACTACTGCAATTGCCTGGCAAAAAATGTGTGACTCTGCGCTGCTGGGAATGCTTACACCGATGTCAAACGCTCTGAAAAGACGTGAGCTCCACTTCAACCACAGCAACTGGACCCGAGTCAGGACCAAACACAGGTCTGACTCGTGCCGTGGGCTCTGCCAGGCTGTCAGCAGTTACTACACCAGTTCTCTAGCCCTGCCATCAATGAAATGACCTGGCTGAGGTGTTTGGGAGGTTTTGCCCCAAGACAGGACCCGTGTGGAGCACAATCCTGGCAGGATCCGCGTGCGCAGCCACACGCTTCCCGTGGCTCCGTGCAGGCACCGCAGGAATTGGTGCTGTGGGAGAGGCAGGACGGTGCATCTGCAGAACCGAGCACAGGAAACCCACATTAGCACTTTATTTTTTTTTTTACTTTTTTTTTTCTTTTCCTTCACTTGGGCTTTACAGTGTTGATCAGGAGAGAAGAAGATTCTGTTTAATGGATTTCAGCTTGCAGGTCAGAGTGATCTCAATCAATAATGAAGTGCTTCGACATATTGCCATCCTGTGCCAAAGCAGAGAGTCCTAAATAAGGCAGTCGGTGTGTCACCTCCTCCTCCCATTAAACATCCGGAGAGCTGCGGGTCTGCTGGTCACAGGCGGCTCTATTAGACCTTACAAGTGACTGGTAATTAACAGGCAGTTAAAAACAACTGATTGGAGCTTGGAAGCGCTTTCAAATGCTCTGCCTCTCTACTGTGGGAGAAATAACTGTGAACAAACTCATAGCATGCGTGTTTTTAACAATTGCCTTTAAACCGACATTCAAAACAAATGTAAAACAGAGCAGGCAGAACAGGTCAGGGCGACCCAAAGAGCTGAAGAAAAAAAAAAAAAAAGGAGGGGGGACTATCAGTATTAGCATTAATTTTGTCAGTGTGGCCTGCAGAAGGTTACACTGATGTATGTCTGCCCTTACTTAAGGAAATTTCACCAGAATAAAGCACTTAGAAATAAGAGTGTGCTGGTTTTTGGATGGCACTACCAAGCCCTCCTGCTGGCTGCGGATCAGGGAGCTGGGTTGGCTCCTCACCCTCATCCCCGGCTGGGAGCCCAGCAATCCCACTATCCCGGTCCAACCCTCCCAGGTGGGCAAGGGAAGGGTCCCAGAGGAGTGTCCCTGCTTCCCTGGGAAGCCACAGGTACAGTGGCTGTAGATGGTCAGTGATCTACACTTCAGCTTCTAGATTTTGAGCAGAAAACCCTCAGATTCTGGATATGGGTACTCTGTCAGGTTTTGGTAGAGCTACAGGTTTTGCAGCAGAGACAAACAGTAACAAGGATCTTTACTGGCGACACAGGAGCAACTTCCGCTCAGCGAAGAAAGATACTAGGGCTGGAATTTAATAAAGAAAAATGCCCCTTTCTGCCTGGGAAAAATCATCTTAAAATGGGAGTGCTCTGTTCAACGAGGCTTTGGTGTGAGTGAGAATCCAGCTCACCCGCTCGTTTACATTTTTTCAGATTAACAACATTTTAAATTAAGGAAAAGAATGTTTCCTGAAACTCAAACAAAAGTTTAATGAAATTCAAGTTTTGGTATTAGAAACCTGCAAATGTTTCCCGAAGCTCATTACACTCCACCAGCCGCCTTTTTCCAGACATTCACTGACTATTAACACGTCCCGTACATTCGTCAGGGGCAGGACCAGCCCGGCTGCCCCAGCCCAGCGCAGGGACCGGGGGACGTGACCCAGACCGTACCTCCCAGAGTCATCCCGGCTTCGTAGCACTTCCGCAGGCGGCAGGACGGGCAGTTTTTCCTTCTGAACTTGTCGATGGTGCAGTCGTTCCGGCTGGCACAGAGGTACTTCTGCTTACCTACAAACACCAGAGGAAACGGCAGATGGGTGGTGGGTACCGAGCAGACCAGGGTTACAAAAGAAATGGGCTCAGGCTTTCTCAGTGTCACCAGGGTCACCAGCATCGTGAGGAGAGAGGAGAAGAAGAGGAGAAGAAGAAGAAAGAAGAGGAGGAGGAAGAAGAAGAAGAAAGAAGAGGAAGAAGAAGGAAGCAGAGGAAGGAAGAAGGAAGCAGAGGAAGGAAGAAGAGTGAGGAAGAGACAGAAGAGTGAGGAAGAAGAGGAAGAGAAAGAAGAGGAAGAGAAAGAAAGAAGAGGCAGAGAAAGAAGAGAGAAGATGGCTCTTCTGCCACGCACATGGCAGAGGCTTCAAGACCAAGATCTCCAAGGAGAAAAATCTCTCTGCAGCACAGCAGAGGTAGTCAATAAACAGCCATTAAAAGGTAATGAAATACGGACAGTTTGTTTCTCATTTTTTAATGTCCTCCATCTATTGCTTGGCTTTCTGCTGTGACGAGCTGGTTTTCCCAGCACTTACCTCCCGTTTGCTGAACGCAGTCCCCAGGCAGCCGCCTTCCCTCTGCAACCACCACTCTCTGCAGTGCCTCTGCGGGCTGAATTATTTTCTGTACCACTCATGAATACTACCTGGGTTCATTGTCAGGTTACAGACACTGGGGCAGGGGAACTGGCTGCTTGGTGGCATCAGTCACCCTGTCCCCTGGGCTGCACTCACAGCCAGGAGGAATCTGGGACCAGTGGCTCCCTATAACCTTGTACAGCAGCAAGTTTGGGGGGGTCTTGCAGAAAATGCAGAATTTACTCACTGACAGACTAACCAGTACCTTAGACTTACCCTTCCACTTGTTTGGAGAGAGAGCAGCCCTGAGAGCTCCACATTTCAGCTCTTTATTTTTTTTTTTTATCACCCCATTTGCTAGGCATGCCAAGAATGAACTTTCCTTCCTGACTCATCATTTGTTTTCTTGTCAAGTCTACACACCTTTACTGGATCAGGATTTATCTGATGTTCTTCACTCTGTTCCAAACTAAGCCAGCCTCAGTAAATGATGGAGGTGTGTGCACGGCAGACTCTGAGCAAGTCGCCTACATAGGAAATCAGTCTGTATCCAGCTTCACCTTTATTTATCATCCTGCAAGCGTTTGCTTTCTGTGTTCTTATCGGAATAGTCCTCTGGAGTCATCAGAGATCCATTAAAAGGACGAGGCTGAATCTAACTGCTCAATGTACCAGTTTTGACAAGAGATGCACTGATTTTGGAGCGCTGATTTAACAGCTCCCCACCTCCCACACACATCCCCATCTTCTGAAGGTATCAGGATCAGAAAAAGCAGCAAATTTTTAGCAGCCCAGTAGCACAGACCTCCCTGGCCCCGTCTGTTGCTTCCCCATCACCCTCCCAGTTCCAGAGAGCAGCTTTTACCCCCCTGGGGAGGCAGAACCTGCAGAAGGTGCCACCTCTCACGGGGCCACAGAACAGTCATTAAAAGGCTCTGTGTGTATCACCATCTCCTCTCACACTGAGTGGACACGGGGCTACACCAAAGGCTCCACCACACGTTTGAACTTCCCAGGATCGTCCCCGTTAAAAGCTGATCATTACACCTTCCCCAGTGCCTCAGCTGGTAAGACTGGAGATATAATGGGGGCAAGAGTGCGGTACCTCCAGCACTGATCCCTTGCTAAACCCTTTTAACACCGTTCTCATCAGCACCTCTTCTCACTCCCCTCCCCGTGCTCATTACCAGAGCTAAGGACACTTCGACAAGGCTCAGAAGCGGCGATTACACCAAAACCCAGAGAACACAAGCACCATCCTCCCTTTCAACAGTTCATTGAGGAGGATGAGTAATAAACAACTTCAGCTGAAACTGGGCTACTTGGGAGTTATTTTTGTGCTACAGGAAACGAGTGCTGAGGCCGTGCTCTCTCCACTCAACCTCTTTACGTGCATATATCAAACAAGAATGGATGTCCTACTTTCCCAGGCACGGGCATGGAGAGCTGGGAGGTGGTTTTGCCCTCCTTCCCCTCCAGCTGCACTGCAGGATTCCTGTCTCCTGACGACATCTTATACTGGGATAGAATCACAGAATGATAGAATCACAGAATCATTTCGGTTGGAAAATCCCTTTAAGATCATCGAGTCCAACCATAAACCCAACACTGCCAATTCCACCTCTAACCCATGTCCCTCAGCACCTTGTCTGCCCGTCTGTTAAATCCCACCAGGGAAGGTGACTCCCCCCCCTCCCTGGCCAGCCTGTTCCAATGCTTGACTGCCCTAACGGGATGCTCCAGAGCCCATCAAACTACCACAAGTACAAATCAGCTGGGGTCGGGACTACCAGGAAGGCTCAAGCCCAGCCCACGGGGCCAAGGTGGTCCCTGGCCGAGGCCATTGGGCTGCCACGAGTGGTGCTGCCCCAGAAGCATCCGCAAACCCTCCCGCTCATCGGCTCCTGCTCCTTCCCTATCTCATCTCCCTAGTCTAAACCACAGCATTTTTGCAACAATAATAGCTCAAAATCTTCAAAAAGGTCAAGCCTCTCCCGTGAGCGGCTTTAGCAAGGGAAGGCGGCACAGTCCCTGCCCGAGCCCCCCAGGGACACTCCAGGGTCACACTCAGCTCTATCAAAATTCCTCTGCCAAGAGGAGGAACATCCACCGTGCCCCAGCCTCCTCCTCTCCCCCAGGCTCCAGACCGTGCCCTGACACATGGGCTTGTCCTCACCTCACTCTGTCCCCCAGGTCCCCATGGGAGGGGAGCAGGGGCAGGGATGACATTTGGGAAGGGGGCTGAAGCCTTGCTTGATGAGGCAGCCGAGCCACTTGCCATCAGCTCTTGAGCAGCATCCGCTGCCCCGGCACAGCTGGGAAGGGACATGGAGGGGGAGCGGGACCAGGCACAAACCTGGCACATGAGAAGAGTCTCTACGACACCCCGGCCTCCCTGGCGCTGGGCTCGGGTCAGTGGAAGCTTTTAAGTTGCAGTCAACAACTCACCCCACGGTCGTGGTACAGTGAGTTTGCTGAAATAAGCCAGGGCCTGCTTCCCGGTTCACAACATCAGCTCTTTGGGGCAGGAACCGATGTTCTGGTAACTGCACAGACAGGGCCTGGCACTGGTGGTTTTATGCTGTTTGCCATTAACAAAAAGGGAAATAAATGGTCATGCAACAGACATTCAGGAGTCTGCTGCTGCTCAGCGTGAGAACAAGCTGCCTGCTCATCTCCTCCTAATTCCTGGGGATGTAGAGATTCCCCTTTTAATTACTGGAGAAACCCAGCACCCTCGTCACTGCCATCCCCAGCTGTGAATATGGTTTATGAAATGAATCCATGGCCTGGGGGGAAGAGGGACCACACCACATCACTGTCCCAGCGATGCCAACCGCCCTGGACCACCGGTCAGTGCTGGGCTCCAGCCAGAGCTGAGCCTGTGGGTTTGGTGCTGGGGCCACTCGGAAGTTCCCGCTTTAGAAATAATCCCATAAGAAATAATCACGAAGCTCTCAGGAACCAACACTAAGCCACTATTAATAAAATATCTTTGCAAAGTCATTTTCTTACTAGTCCTCTGAATTTTCCAGAAGACTAAAGCAAAGCAAAGGACAGTGTCCAGCCCCAGTGACACAGTGTGGGCTCCAGCAGCAGCTCCCGTCCCCCCTCCTCGCGGCAGCGACTTTGGCAGCCCAAAGCGCTGGGAAGGCAGGCTGGCTCTGCGGGAAGAGCAAGGGGAAGCTCTCCAGGGAGCCAGAAACAATGTCTGTGAGTGAAAACAAGAGCTAGCCAGAGGAACACCAGCACGGGAGTCACAGGCGTTGGTGAGCTAACAGCACGGGCAGGTAACAGCTCCGTCCAGCCAGGAGCCCGGAACAAACCAGCAGCTTTGAGAGTAAACAGCTATAGGACTGAGCAAACTGAAAAGGCTTTATTTTAAAGGTACTTAAATCCAGGAAGCAACAACATTTTAATCACTCAGCTCTCTGGCAACAAGAGAAAACCATCAGTTCTAACTCCTGAGGCTGCCTGAAGCCGAACTGTCTGCTCCCGACTCCCCGGGGCCAGCTCCGACTCTTCACCTGCAGCCCCGACTCTTCTGCACGCTGTCAGCTCAGCCATGAGAGGGGGAAGAAAGAGCTTTTAAAACATGGTGATGGTCTTCGAAAAGGGTTCACTTTAACTCGTTGGCATCTTGAAAACTGGCAAGAAACTGTTGGGCTGGCCCAGAGACATTTTGCTGGTGCAAAGCTAATCCTCAGCAGGTCAGGATGTAGAACAATAATCCACATGGAGAGTGACTGAAGGGCAACCAGAACAGGCTGCACAGCAGGCTGGCTCCTGGCCCTCTAGGAAACTTGCCAAGTACTGTGCTATTTTTTTCATTTAGCTCTCTGCTATTTAAAGGCAGTCCCACCAGGAACACAGCCCAAGGCATCCCAGCCCAGCGTTGCCAGGAACACTGCACAGAGGCACCTCTGAACTGGCCAAGACAGCCACCAGATCTCATGCAATCCTGGAGGGATGAGGAAGGTCTACCATGTTTCAGGGATGGATGCAAGGGACACAAAAGTGCTTTCCTTCCTGGATGGGATGGGACAACGGGAACTCCTGGACTGCCAGTAGATTTGTAAGTGTGTCATATTTGAAGCATTTTTCTGTTTGGGGGACAAGTGTGGTATCACAAGGACCAAACCCTAATGTCCTTAACTCACTTGAGCCATCCTAACCACACAAAGTGATGCCCTGCCTCCTCGTGTCAACCAAAACCAAAATCTGTGCTGAGGTGGATGCAATTTTTGTTTACTAAATCTTTGTTGCTGTAGGAGAAAGAGGAATCAGAAGGAGGACTCCTCCTCCTTCACTGGCTGTGACCATGCCCAGCAGCAGCAGTTCTGGCCAGGACAGCAAATCCCAACCCTCTGGATGGACCCTCAGCGCTCGGACACCAGAACGGGGTGACAGAAAGGGAGACAAATGCCAGGTTTGATTACAAAAATGAGGCTGGTCATTTCCAAGTGAGGAAGTCCACATCAGAGCTGAAGAATCTGAGGGTGCGTTTTACAGCTTGCCTATATATAACCTGGACATCTTGGGAGAGTCTATAAATCGAGAGAGCTGACAGAAAGAGATCAAGAAAATACTCTTATCTTTTCTGTTAACTCTTCCAGCATCTTTCCAGAAGAACCAGTTGGACTTGAGCTTGAAAAAAAACTATCAAACATTTTATCAAAGCAGGAGCTATCTGCTCAACTGGAAACCACACAAATCCCTCAGTGCATTTCAAAAGGAAAGAGGAATCAAGGTCATAACTTCACTTAAAAAAAATAAAAATCTTTCTAATCCCTTAGAAGCCAGTGTACATCTATAAAACCTTCTAAAATGTCCCTGAATTACTGTCACGTAAGTTCAGTATTATATTAGGCAAAGAACAGGATAAAGGAAAAACTAGGTGTCTGGCTGTTCTCCATTCCCCCTGAGGTGATCTGTTTGTCCTGCTCCTCAGTTCCCAGTCCCTTGCTTCTCCTGCCCTTTGGAGGCTGCTGGTTTACACCAGTAACAAGAAGGTAACAGAGGCAGAAGAAAAGGTTTCTGTTCTCCTCGGGGAAGCTTTCTGATCTGCTGTTGTAAGAAGTCTCCAAAGGTTACCCTTTGGAGAGAACCTTTCAGAGATGTATTTTATGGACTTTAAAACATGAGAACACACTGAAATATCAGTTTTCAATGCTGCTCCTCAACTTTAAGAGGGAAAAGTCTCGCTGGAGAATCACCAAGAGTTAGGATAGAAATCATCACCTGCCACTACCCTGCATTCCTTGTTTATAAAGGAGCCTGATTTATTGTCTCCTTAAAATAAAGACTCTATCCATGTACTTCAGGGTAACATAAGATGAAACCTCACACTCGGGCAGGTTCCCCCCACCACTGCTGTGCTTCACTCCATGGCCCCATCCAGGGGAAAGGTAAAGGGATCCCACAGGTGCCCGATCCCAACGCAACCCAACACGTCCAACCCTCTGAGATACCTCCAGGCTTAAAAACTAAGAAAAGGCATAAATACCACTTAACTGACCAACATAACACAATGTGGGGGGGGGGCACCACACCACAAAGAGCCGTGTGAGCAGCCCAGGCTGCAGCCCCCACCCGCTCCACGCAGGACGGAGCCCACGCTGGGGTAAGAGGAGGAGCTCCGTTCCGGGGCCCGCCAGCCGAGACGTGGCACTTCATCAGCAGTTTATCAGACAGACAGAGCCAAGACTCCACTTACTATAAATCAACAATAACTCGCTGACTTAAACAAGCATCTGGTATTTACTCTGGCTGCACAAGCCAATCCCCTTGGCCTTACACAGAATTGGTGTATAGCAGAGAGACGTATCTGTAAATTATTTACTTGGGAAAAATATGCCAAACTTATTATCTCTTAATGCTACTCGACTGTCCTGTTATGGCAACAAGATGCTGCTGTCCTCTGTGGCACAGCCCTGAGTCTTCCCTGAACCCGTGCTGCCAGGCTCACTCCTGGCACACATGATGAACGAGGGAAAACGTGACTGAAAACGCACGGGATAATGCTGGAGTTAACCTAGAAGCTGTGCTCTGACCACAGCAGGTGAGCACCCATCGCTTTGGGACCTCCCCTCGACAGAGGGGTGACACAGGCATGGGAGGAGAAGGTCACGGCGAGAGCAGGCAGAGGCAGAAGCCTCCATCCCTGTCCTGGCCACCAGCTGGGAACTGCAGTGCCCACCTCTCCCAGGGACGCCATGGTCTGTGACACCGACTGCCAACATGTGCCCATGCACCGAATAAACGATGTCAGCAACGAGGAAGAACCATGATTTGTATTGGTTCATCACTCAGATGCACAATTCACAGGTCCATCACATTACCAGACGTTGAGGCTCCCACAATAGTCTCACTCTGCTGCCAAGGAATCACGACTCAATTGCAGTTAGAAACCAGACATTGCGGACCCACGGCCCAGGGAACAGCTGGGCTAGGTCCTTCCACATGCTAATTACCCAGGGAAGATGGTGCAAAGACCTTGCTGTTCAGAGGGAACATCTGGGCTCATGCTCATCTCTGGAGAGCCTGGCACTATAGAGCTGGACGTGAAGTGGAAGTTACTCTCTCAAGGGTTGGAGAGTGGGATCACGGACCCCAAGGTCAGCACATGGCTCTTGATGGACAGATGGTTCTGCCGTTTTGCATGTACTGAGAAAAGTGACACTTTGAAAGGGATGCAAGAGAGGAAAAGCATCTCCTGAATTTGGAGTTGTAGGGCTGAGATGGCATGAGGGCTGATTGGAACCTAAAGCACCCTGAGAGTCAAGAGGAGAAGCAGGAACTGACTGCTGGGGCTCTCGCTAGGTCACTATGATAATCAGGGGCTGAAAAGGATTCAGTTTTGACAAACTGGTTTGGCTGCTTTTTGAGGGCAATCTGTAATGTGGAATGACAAACATAGCACAAAGAAATTCATTTATTCTTGAATTTTCTCCTTTACCAGTTTAAGAGACCTTAGAAACCCACCACACTTTGTCCCCAGCACTCTTGCCTCAGTCCCTTTGGCTTGTCAGGCTCCCCAAAGCAACACTGCTTAACCTCCTTCAACAGGAGGAAAGCGCATCATGATGCTGCAAGAGAACTTGTGTCAGTAGCACTTGGCTCTTGGGCTCCTTTGGTAGGAGGTGGGAGTGATTTTCCCTCCCCTCTCTGTACGCATTACCTTCAGCCGCCCGTTTGAAGAAGACTTTGCAGCTGCCACAAGTGAGGGCTCCATAGTGGCACCCAGATGCTTCGTCTCCACAGATCAGGCAAGTCTTCTGAGGTGGAAAGTAATAGTCAATGGGCAAGACATGCTCACGGCCAGTCTCCAACCTGCAGCATCAAACAGAAGGAGAACAAGGGAAAGGGTCAGCAGATGAGGCTCGGACGAGCTACGGGTGAGCACAGGGAATGGTGCCTGGGAGAACGTTCATGGCAAAACCCAAAATCTCAGTGATGGGACAAGCCCAGCACTGATCAGAAAGGAGGCAAGCAATGACTAAGCCAAACCTCGCTCTGACCATGCAGAAGACCATGCTGGGGTGCCCCCCATGACAGTGCCCCAAGGTACAATGTGTGACAATGTGTGACAAAGTACAGGCACAGTGACAGCACAGCCTAGAAAGAGAGACTGGGACTGGCTCTTGCTGTGTTCACATAGTTTTGTCTTCAATAGTGAGGCTTGTACATCAAAAAAGGACTCAGCATGCTCATTGAGCGAGGTGATCCCACTCCATTAAGGTCATTGTCATCACCTCACTACAGATAAATTTATCCTTTTGATTCTTAATTTAAACAAATTATTTTTTCCTAAGCTATCAAACTCCCTTAAGCTATTCTTTTCTTCTTGCTTGTTTTCTGCCCAGTCCGTCTTTCAATGCCCAGCAACAGCTGGACTGAGCCTTCCTCCAGGGTGTCCTGCTCAGCCACCCGAGTGCTAACTCCAGCCAGAAGCCTCTGGTGAAAACATAAAGAGTTTGCTGTGAACGTGTCCCAGTAGATTCCAGTTTACACCCATCCCATGACTAACGGCGCTGCCTCTGCACCCCCAGTCGCACGGGGTACACTGGGACAGTGCCACCGAGGTCCCTGCCCTGGGATGGCCCCATGGGCAGAGCACGGCGCTGCCAAGCACCCAAGGGCAAAAACAAACCTCAGAGCCAAAAATAAAAGTTGCAGGGTCTGTCATACAATAACTACAAGTAAATGCTGGAAGCGGGTCAGTGTGGATTAGAGCTTCACATTTCCACTCGCCCGCTCCTTAGTCTGAAAGACCCATTTTGGGTTTTCACTCTGGGGAGCTGGAAACAAGGATGGGGACAGAAACCGGCCATTAGCAGGGGTCGAGCACCGACTCCCACGCAGGTCTGGGGCCATCTTTGCCTGTTGCTGCTTTCCCCGGCCTCTGGTTTTGACATAACCTCTTCCAGTTCTGCTGGGGAAGCGTGCAGAGCCTCCTCCAGCCCTGGCACAGCCCAAGCTGGTGCCAAGCACAGGGAGAGGACAGCAGTGGTGCTGGGTGCTCAGGAGGCAGAGCCCCACACCTGATCCCTGCTCCACCTCTCCACCCAGCACAGCCCACAGCTCACATGGAAATGCAAATGTGGGACCGGGTCATAGAATCACAGAATCATAAAATAATTTTGGTTGGAAAAGACCTTTAAGATCATTAAGTCCAACCGTAAACCCAAAATTGCCAAGTCCCACTAAACCATGTCCCTCAGCACCACATCTACCCATCTTTTAACTGCCTCCAGGGATGGGGACCAAACCATGTCCCTGGGCAGCCTGTTCCAGTGCCTGAGAACCTTTACAGTGAATAAATCTTTCCTAATAACCAATTCAAACTTCCTCTGGCACAACCTGAGGTGGATCCACGTGAGCCAGGACCATGGGAGAAGACTTCACCCATCAGTGCCACATTAACCACAGCATGGGGACATTCCAAGAGCCAGCCTTCCTCTCCAACCACATATTCCTCATGCCTTCCCTCCATCCAACACACCCAAACCCTTTCCTCTTGGCTGGTACCCATCCCTCCTGCCACACACTTGTTCGGTCAGATCCATGGAGAAGCAGTTTCTTCAGAGGCATGGCAGCAGGAGAGGCGCTTACCAGAATCACCAGCCAGCGTACGTCCAGGCAGCGTGGGGAGCAAGACTGTTCTGAGTTATTTGCTAAAACTGGCTTTTTGTCAAGGCGAGGCACTGGACCAGGCAATTAGCTTCTAACAGTCAGTAGGTCACTGCAACTTTCTGGTCAAAATTAGATCTGCTTTTGGTTTCTGGTATTGTTTGAATGCTTGCAAGTCAGCTCTTAGAAGTCAAATTATATTAAGAGTGAATGTGACAGAGCTGGGACTTCTTAGGAAAAATCTTCATACCCAGAAAAGCCCCTTTAGGACCCACAGTGCGAATAAAGCCCAAATCCACCAAAACAGAAAATAGCCCTGGGAGAGACAGCAGCCAGAACCCACACCATGAACCTTCTGGAAAGCCCTGCAACTTTTAGAAAAAGGGGCCAAAGACCAACACAGACCCCAGGGCAAGGGAACATCACCTGGGCTCAAAAACCAGGCTCACTCCTCTCATCTCATCTTGCTGCTAACTGTGTCCTTCAGGAACGCTGCTGTCTTCTACCCCTCATGAGAGCTATGCAGATCCTGCCTGCAGGTTAATAACTGGAGCAGCAATTTTATCCTCTGTTCTTAAGGCAGGAAACATCTCGCGTAATTTCGCATCTTTTTAGTAGTAGCAGCAATCCAAATCAGTGACTCATCTGTAGACGCTGCTCAACTCTCCTTCCCTGACAAACTCAATTTCCAAGGCTTTGCTTGAATTACTGAGTAAATGGAGGAGATATAGGTGGTTGCAACATATCTGCCATGGTGAAGTCCTGATGCCACAAACATCTCCCTGCCTGGCCCCCCCAGCACCCCACCCGTCATCCCAACGTTCCCCCACCACATCTGCACCAGCACCTACGCTCCACACCCTGGCACTCAGCTTGAGGAGCTACTGGAGAGCAGACCCTCCCAAGAAATAACCAGCAGCAGATATAAAAGCTTTGCTAAAATAATCTGATTTACGCAGCAATCTTTTAGATTCCAGCAGTACCAGACCCTCCCCTCTAATGACCCATTACCTTTTTTCTCCTCTCCATGCAATCAGAAATCTGAAAAGAGCTAATTTACCTTCTTCCATAAGGCCTTCCATACCGTGCTCTCCCAGTTCTTTGCACTATGTATTTCAGAGAGGAAATCGGCAAAAGCGACTCTCCCGGTAGCAGCTGTTGTGATGACAGAAGCAGGAACCCCAGAGGACCCTGGAGTATTTTTGAGGCTTAATTATTTAAAGTTGCAAAGCAGGTTAGCAATTAAGGCTTGAGTGGCTTTTTAAACAGCTTTTTAAATAGCTGTTTCTGCATGAGAGGGGTTGTGCAAGTACAAATACACCTCCCACGCGTGTGTATCTGATGTACCCATACACGTGCCTCTGCCCACGAAGGGTGCTGAGCGGAGTGTCCCAGGGGTGCTCGGCTGCCCACCTCGGGATGGAAGTCAGAGGGAGCCGGAGACACCAAGGTTAATTCTGGCTGGTCCCGGGTGCTCCGCTCCTGCCGTCGGGGTTTGCCCGGGGCAGCGCTCAGCCCCTGCGTCCCACTGCATCAGGAGATGGATGTTTCAGCCATCGGGAATCGGATGTTTCAGCCGCTGCGGAGCGGCTCGGCTGCTGGCTGAGCCCTCCAG